ACGTTAATTAAGAAAAAATAATTATGGGAAAAGATAAAATCCTGTATAATATGCAATAGTTAATTAAAAACAAGAATTGCCCATTTTGATTTCATGGTGATTTCAAAGGAATAGTTCACCCAAAAAGGAACATTCTGTCATCATTTACTCACCCCCATGTTGTTCCAAACCTGTATGAGTTTCTTTCTTCTGATGAACACAAAAGAAGATATTTTGAAGAATGCAGACAGTTGATTGTAGCCATTGACTTCCATAGTATTTTTTTTTTTTTCATATGGAAGTCAATGGTGTCCAGCAAGTCCGGTCTTACTCTGGTTTTGCCCACAGTCCAAAGACATGCAGGTTAGGTGAATTGAACAGTCAAATTTTTTTTTGCCTGTATGTGTGTGAGAGCCCTGTGATGGACTGGCCATCTGTCCAGGGAGCTTTCTTCTGCCTCTGGCCTTACAAGAAACTGGAATAGGTTCCAGCCCTATGACTTGGAAAGGTCATATAAGGAATAGAAAGAGAGAGAACCATTCGATGGCCTTCATTTACAGCAAGAAATCGTTTTATCGTAAAAAATAAAATACTAGATGTTGAATGAAAATAGTCATCTGTTTAGAATGTGCTTTCAGCTGAGTTATCAAGCATGATCAAACATGCAGTGGCAGCGAGATTGTGACACTTCACATGCACAGTGTGTATTTGTGTTCATGTGTGAATGAGTGTGACAGTTAGAAGTGTGACAAGGCACACATTTTTTGACAATAAATCTCAATATAGCACAGCCAGCCTGTGATTAATAGTTTGGAGTTCACACTTCACACACGGCACAATGAAATGTGTGAAGTTTATTCCAGTGGAAGGCTTTGTTCCATCTTCGAGTGAACACTTTATTGTCACCTTCAGTGACAGCAGCTCTCAGACTCCTCATGCCCGGTACGCATTGTACGATTTTGGACTGTCCCAGACGAAAGATGACCAATCAATTTCTGTGGCTGTGGCTCCTAAACGGTTGTCCTACGTCGTACAGTGAGAGAGGTTCAACAATGGCTGTGTCACGGTCTTGCGACCAAAGATAGCCTGATAGTGTCAGAAATTTGGCATGATCATCTCGGTGTGTTTGCTGCTACGACCTACGTCTACTGAGTAGTTAATACAAATGCAACACGAAATGGCAGAATGATCAACGCGACATGGCGCTAAAACTTAAAACTACCTCAAGCTACATTTGCAAAACTCGCATCCCAAGTTGGCTTCTTTTCCCTGGCCATGGCCGCGTCCATATTCTCCTCTTTCGCTTCCTCCTCTTTTTTTCAAAACCACAACTGCCAAAGTGTGATTCATCTATTTGTTTACCACTAGTGCATGCTGATTATGTTTTATTCTTCTATACTAACTGGCGTCATAGCCTACGATTTAAGAGGTGTCATCATCGTACAGTCTAGTTTATTAGATCCATGTTGTACAGTGTGATTTGTAATGATCTTATATGATTGCTGAAACCACACAGTCTGTAGCAGGCATTATACATCAAGGGTTACATTGTGTAGAGCTTTCATTTATAGGTGAGTTATCTATGTCATCAGCACGGGTAAATTACTTCAAAGGCAGCTGGGCTGCTAAAGTATGTTACCTCAAAAGTGAAGGTCAAGGAAGCCCTCAAACCATTTCCTAACTGTTATGAATAAATCATAACCATGATACCAGACTCCTCAGGGTGGACGGTGGAGATTTCTTTTTTATGCATTACAGTAAGTGGAAGGCTTGCAAATAAAGTTGCTGCGAAAGGTACTTCATCTAAGGGTTGCGTGTCTGTTTAAAAAAAAGAAAGATGAAATGTTGGTTGTGAGACTTGAATGCAAAATGATCTGCTTTCTTAACACATAATGAATAACCTGTTTTGCTGAGGTCAAGGTATTGGTGCTTTATTCTACCAATATAACTCACTGGAGGTTCACCTGTTCAACTGCTCGTTAATGCAAATATCTAATCAGCCAATCACATGGCCGCCACTCAATGCATTTAGGCATGAAGACATGGTCAAGACCTGCTGACGTTCAAACTGAGCATCAGAATGGGGAAGAAAGGTGATTTAAGGGACTTTGAATGTGGCATGGGTGTTGACCCAGACGGATTTTCTAGGATTTACAAAGAATATCGAGTGAGCGGCAGTTCTGTGGGCGAAAATGCCTTGTTGATGCCAAGAGGAGAATGGCCAGACTGGTTCGAGCTAGAATTCGAATAACCACTCTTTACAACTGAGGTCTGCAGAAGAGCATCTCTGAACTCACAACACATTGAATCTTGAAGCAGAGATGAGCTACAGCAGCAGAAGACACACCGGGTGCCGCTCCTGTCAGCTAAGATCAGGAAACGGAGGCTACAATTCACACAGGCTCAACAAAATTGGAGAATAGAAGATTTAAAAACCGTCCCCTGGTCTGATGAGTGTCGATTTCTGCTACGACATTCAGATGGTATGGTTATAATTTGGAATAAACAGCATGAAAGCATGGATCCATCCTGCCTTGTATCAACGGTTCAGGTTGGTGCTGGTATGTAATGGTGTAGGATATTTTCTTGGCACACTTTGAGCCCTTTAGTACCAAGTGAGCATCGAACACCACAGCCTTATTGTTGCTGATCATGTCTATCCCTTTAACCACAGTGCGTCCATCTTCTGATGGCTACTTCCAGCAGGATAACACGCCATGTCACAAAGCTCAAATCATCTCGAAAGGGTTTCATGACAATGAGTTAACTATACTCAAATGGCCTCCAGAGTCGTCATGGATTTGCAGCCGCCAAATCTGTAGCAACTGCGTAATGCTATCATATCAATAAAATCTCTGAGGAATGTTTCCAGCACCATGTAGGAACTATTCCCTTAAGAATTAAGGAAGTTCTGAATTTGACTACCTCTAAAAAAAACAAATTTAATCTTGTAACAATCAAGTAGAAAGTACTTACATACTTTCCATACATGTTGGATCCATGTCAGTGCACACGTCTTATTCATCATTCTCAATAATATTTTTATATTTTTTAAGGTAATATATTATGCCACCTCAAAAAATGACTTCAATTCAGGAAGGTTAAGCATGTTCTTCGAGAGGTGTTTTCAAGTCATTGTATATGCATGAAATGTTTAATGTTTTATGAATGCTTAATGATTTAATTAAAAAATAATGTTTTATAATTCAATAATGGTTCAAAAAATGAGGGTCATGTCATTGGACAACTTTTGTTTCACTCATTGTCTCATATAAACTTCGGTGCATAGATAACATAGATTTGCAACATATTCTCTAGCTATGTTTATGTCTTTCATTTTAATGAAATGATTGAATGAATTTAATGTAATTTTCATGGCCAAGATGGTATAATGTTGTGCCTAAAAACAAATTAAACAAATGAAAAATGATAGCTCTCAAAATAACTCTCGTTCTTCTTCTTTCTACTATTTTTTTTTCACTTCAGTCTTAGTGGAATGGATGTATGACAAGACGGTAAGATAGACAGAGAGCCAAACTAATATATATATACTTTACTGAAAAGATCAAATTATGTGATCACCCATGTGGATTGTATGTCTGATCCATTTTACCATTTGACTTCAGTAATGTGAGAGATCTTTATTCACGTAACATCTTTCATTGTCATGAGAGATGCAGAAAACCCTCTCACACGTGTAACTGTGTCATCAACTGTATCAAATTGGTTTTGCCATTTTTCCACAGGCAGGGCGTCTCTATAAAGTAGGATTAAAGGAGGAGGCTTTTTCAGGCATTTTCAGCATTTGTGTCAGTGGAGGTTCAGCACGCTCTAATATAGCATCCCATCCATTTCTGTACTTTTTTTTCTCATTTGCTTTTGATCTGCTTTGATCTTTTAATCCCAAGGATCCAATCAACAAAACAAATCTCCCATCCACTAGTTATCACCACCCTTTTATAGTAGGATAATTCTCATATGAAAGTAAAACTGTATTTTGCTAATGAATAAAAATGTATTCTCTAAATGTTTAAAGATATCACATGTAGTTAGTTAGATTTAAATCAATAGCAGCACTTTTTTAATTACTTAATGTGTTATGCTTGAGGCATGCTTATAATAACATGCAACCTAGAAAACTCATATTTCACATAACATAAAAAAAATACTTTAAAATAATTTTTTATTTTCATATTTTGCTTACAGAAAATAAGGCCTGTTTTAGGATAATTAAGGATTTTTGCATTGTGACATTAGTTTCAATGCAGAATTCCCCCTCCCCGAATGAATGAATGAATGAATGAATGAATCAATCAATCAATGATTTTTGTGGAGCTTAAACATCACATAATTACATAAAATAAAATCACAAGGATTATGAATTAAAACAGAGTAATAGACTAGAAGCCTATAAAAAAATATATGATCAATAAGTTATGACAACATATGTTTTGACAATCAAAATAAGTTAAACAATAAAAAAAAAAATGTGTTACCGTATACAAGATTCAACTCATCTTACATTCAGTGTAATGTAAATTAAGTTGAAATGACTTCAACATCCAAGTTGATTGTACTTAAAAATTTAAGGCAATCTTTTTTCGCGTTTTAGATAGAGAACTGTTCTTGATCATAATCATCATAATGAATAAATTGTGGCCAAATTTTATGATTTTGTTTTTTCTTTAGTAGGCCTAAATTACCTTTTATACAGGTGTTCATTTTTGATATCCACATCAAAATGAAATTTCTTGTGCCTGTGTGACAGTGAAATAAAAAAAAAAGTCTTAGCTTATATGGCTTTATTATAATATAGGCTACAGCTGTTAAAATTTTGAAATCCACAGTAGAGAAAAATTCCTGTGCCTGTGTATGAAACTGAAATTTAACATCTTTCCAAAAAATCCTAATACTACTGAGTAAGTAAGTAAGTAAATAAATAAATGGTTCCATTTTACGCAAGTAGTTCACTGCATCCACCCCTCTGACAGCCCTCTCATGGTGCATTCCAGGAAGCTGCACTCTTCTTTACTGAATTAAATCATCTGACGCGCGCAGCGCGCTGTCTCCCTATTCTCGTGTGGAATGAGCCGTTCGAGCCGGTTCGGTTGCCCGAGCAGCAGCAACAGCAGCAGCGGCACTGAGGCACTGAGACACTGAGGCAGGTTGTTTGAGGACTGAATGTCGTGGTGACTTCTGAGGGGACTCGCAGCCGAGGACAGAGAGGCTGTTAGGATGGCTTCAAACTTCAACGATATAGTGAAGCAGGGTTACGTGAGGATTCGGAGTAAGAAATTGGGGGTGAGTATAGTCAATATCTGCTGGACGTTTCAGTGTAGTCAGTAATTTTGGGGTATCTATTTTAAAAAAGGGCTTTAAGGAGCGCGCGCTTATCAAGAACATATCAATAACATATCAATGTGCACGAGGAACTCCACTTTATGTTGTATTCTTAATAACCAGTTGTTTCATTTTCACCATATGTATTTATCATTCAGTGTATAGCCTATAGTTTAAATCCTGGTCTGATGTTATCTATCTGAACAAGTTGTATTCAATAGTCATTCATTGATCTATTGCTTGTGCTTTGAGAAATTATGGGTTGTTTAAACAAAACTTGTCACCTTGTTTTACCATAAACATAATATTTGCTTTAAGCATGATTATTTATTTATTCAAATATGGTTTATTTTTAAAGTTATAATTGCAATGACTGTTAAAAAGATTAAGTTTATGACATTTTAAAGAGTTAATCAGGAAACTGCTGTCTTCAGTAGTTTCTTTGCCTATGAGAAGATACATTTGTCAAGTCTACAGATGCAGCATCATCTGTTTATTGTCCTCCTGATTCTGCAGCTGTGAATAGAGTGAGTACTGTAGGTCATCAGGTCTGTGTGATACAGCAGGTGAAGTCATCCAACCAAGATTTCACTTTCTTATATGGTATGATATGATGAAATCTATGGTGATTAGTTTAATAGCAGTAAGGGGTTTAATGAGGATTTTACCGCTGAATAAGTATCTATTGAAGTTCATTGGCTAAAATTTATGATTTTTTTTTTAATATGTTTTGTGAATTGTTGCTATCTATGCAGTATACAATGCAATACGATATAAATTTCAAAATACAAGACAGTGCAGTGGAGTACATTATGCACAATATATATACACGTAGGCCTATATAGACAATAGTGTATATATTGTGTATAATATATATATTATACACAAAATTATAATACACAAATTTATATACAAGTATATAATTGTAACTTTCAATGCTTAATTTTGTTCAGTCTGTGGTGTTAAAAGGTCGCATTAGCAATTAAAGAAAAAAACACGTAAGCAAAACATGGTCAGGTCAAAGTGTCTGAATAATTTTTTGGTCCCAAATTTTTATAAATTTGACTGGTAATCCACTATATGAATAATTTTTGGGTATGTCACCGTTTATTTTATTTTGCTATCCTCACCTACATAAATTAACTATAGTGTCTTGCACCCACTAGTAAAAAAATATCAAATTATATCTGGTGTCTGAATAATTTTCTTTATAGAATAAATGAAGAAATGTATATATCATTTCTGTATTTATTATTGATTTATTTTACTTAAAAATAAGGGTAAAGTATGTGGTAACAGTTTTTATTCTGCTACTATATTGTATATTGTTTACGTAATTAATCTAATATATTATTATACTGTAAATTCAATTCAAATTTATTTGTATAGCGGTTTTCACAATACATATGGTTTCAAAGCAGCTTTACAGAAAGTGCATTTCAGAAATGTACATAGAAAAATACAGTTAGTTAATCATGTATTAATTTAGGGCATAACATATCGCCGGCGTTGAGTCGTCTCTTCACAGTCGTTTAAATAAATTAACAAATAATGAACATTGTTTTTGTCTTAAGTTTGAGACCTCTATTTTAGCAATAAAACATAAATACTTAGTTCTATTCCATATTTAGTTCTATTTGATGTCTCAGGGATGTTTGACCAAGATGGTTTGTTTTTGCCCCTAGACATGGGATACGAGACATGAGATAAAGTGTATTTCCACAGATATTGCTTCCATAGTGTGGGCTTACTCTAAATGCATTTTTTGAAGAAGCAGCTTCATATTGCTTTTTGATTTTTATTGGTCACATATAAACTTACCAGCTACATTTCAGATTCAAATACAGTGGTCACATCTCATTGAAACTAAAATAAAGGAAACTGCTCAGTATTGCTACATCTACTGCATTGTTCTTGCTTGTAGAGCATAGAATTAGCATCTAATAGTACTGTGAGAAAAAATATATAATCTCATTATTTTTCCATTATGTGCGGTACATCTTTATGGCTGCATTTGCCATTAATTGGACAGAATGAATGTTTAAAAAAAGTGTAAAAGCGGGTTAGTAAAGTTGCTTTGATATCCATGTAAAATATTAATTTACAGTTCAACGCACCTGACATTAACTGACCTTCTCACATTGACACCATGCCCTTTGAACTCATGGTCTTCTGCACCTTTGGCATTTTCCCATTTGACACACATCTGTGTAATAACCTTTATCTATTATATAAATATTAGTATACATGTTGATGATAACCTTCTGATAGAAAACAGCAGAAAAGTAAGGTTTAAAATGCTTTTACTCATATTCAAAAAGCCTCTATTACTGGTCTTTATCAGCCATTTGTATCTATTTGAGTGGAATCTGATCATTGGATAAAATATGCTGATGAAACGGGCAGCTGCTCTTTTGAAGACTGCTTTAAAGGGAAGGACTACTTGTCTCATCAGTGCTGGCACAGTCTTTTTTTTTAGTGCGAGTATCATGTTTTGAACAACAGGATCAGCTTAGGGTTTCCCTCTGATCTCTCTCCCTCTCTCTCTCTCTCTGTTCCTCTTGTTTTCCCTCTCCTCTCTTTCTCAATCTTCTGAGACCTAGAAATGTAATGCAAATTAAAAAACGAAATGGGGTAAAAAGGTAAAAATTAAGTCACTTTTTCAACACTTTCCACAAATAAGGTACGAAATAGGGCCTGACAAAAAAAAAATTCTGTCTCTTTCAGTAAGGACATGCTTAACCTCTAGAAAATGTTGATCGTACAACCACAGGAGGTCAATATTATACAAGCTGTGTTATTTTCTATTTACTTTAATCATCTAAATTAAGCTGTCACTCAGTAGGGGTGAGCTGGGACCAAATATTTGTTTGATTATATATATATATATATATATATATATATTGCAATAACAATGGTTGAATGCTTGAACTTGACGAATTCAGATTTCACTGCTTGAGTGTCACAATTTAAAGTATTTTTTAATGAGTATTTTTTAATATACAATAGCATTCAAAAGTTGAACTGTTACAACTGTAAGATGTTTTAATGTTTTTGAAATAAGTCTGTTAGCTCACCAAGGCTGCATTTATTTAATCAAAAGTAAAAACATTAATAATGTGAAATATTATTACCATTTAAAATAGCAGTTTTCTATTTTAATCTATTTTAAAATAATAATTTATTAATGTGATGGCAACGCTGAGTTCTTTTAGTCTTTAGTGTCACATGATCTTTCAGAAATAAATTTAATATGCTGATTTGGTGCTCAAGAAATATTTTAATGATATTAATAATAATTAAACAATAATATTTGTTATTATGATCAATGTTGAAAACAGTTGTGCTGCTTAATTATTCTGTGGAAACCTTATACATTTTTTGTCAGGATTCTTTGATGAATAGAAAGTTAAAAAGAACAGCATTTATTAAAAATATAAATATAAATGTCCTTATTGTAATTTTTGATCAATTTAATGCATCCTTGCTGAATAAATGTATTACTTTCTTTAAAAAAAAAATCTTAGATGGGATGGCCAAAATCACTGTTTTAAGGGGGTTTCAGACATTTAGGCCTGGTTTCACAGACCGGGTTTAGATTAAAGGTTCTCTAAGCGATCCTGGGTGACGTCACTTCTTGTTGACGTTCGAACTATTGTCAAACAAAACGGAGGCTAGCTAGACCCTCCCTCCTCCTCATCCGCACACTAACCCCCCAAACCACACCCCCAAACCCTTCTTGTCGGTCATTGGCTGGAACAGTTTGTTATGTTTTGGGGAGCGGGTCGCTGCAGTTTGTTTTTGGTGCTGTTTGTGAAGCATGGGCTGTCTACAGAGATCGCGTTTCTTTACAGTGTGTTCAGGGGACAGGCAGCCAGCGGATAGTGAGGAGATGTTTGCTGTATGTGACAAAAAATGTTTTGGCCTAAAAAACACATGACATCGCTTAGAGCACCTTTAAGCAAGGATTATGCCTTAGTTAAAATGGGTAATTTAAGTAGCTTTTATAAATGTTTATCTTGAGACAAAACAATGGCATTGACAGATTTTAAGATGTGTCAGTGCAATTGCTTTCAAGACAACTCAAACATGCATTTTAGTTTGAGACTAGGCTTAAGCCTTGTCTGTGGAACCGGGCATTAAAGGAATCACTTTGAAATTAATTTTTGGTATGTTTTAGCTTACCGGTACCTCAAGGGCATCCAAGATGTAGGTGTCTTTGTTTCCGCGGTAGTTTCAATTTTGATATTTTTAGGTCAAACCGTTCTTGTCTGTCAGTCATATAATGCAGGTCTATGGTAACTTCCTCAAAGAGCATGCACAGAGAAGTCCAAATTAAACATGATTTAATGACTCGTAAATGTATGTACACATTGATGGCCTAAGACACGAAACGAGCGGTTTGTGTGAGAAAACGAACAGTATTTATATCGTTTTTACCTCTTGTAACAAGCCACGTCCAAGTCATCTGAGGATGCGGGCGCTTCGGTCTGCGCAAGCGCCGGAAAGCGCCGGAAGTGATCTGATCTCTCGCGCTTGTACGTCACTCATTGTTTACACAGAACAGAGATTGTAGGTAAGACGGCTAATTAAAAGTACTAATTTGCGTTTATCCGGGATGTTTAAACCGTCGTAAAAGAAAACAATTACGTATGGTCGCGTGAACTCATCCGGGAGTAGTGAGTTTTCACAAATTCCCAATTTATAGCCTTCTCCCTTGAAGTTATGGTTGATCGCGCTTGCGCAGACCGAAGCGCCCGCGCCCTCAGAACACTTGGACGTGGCTGTGGTTACAAGAGGTAAAATACTAATACTAATACAAAATAAAATAACAATGTAAATACTGTTCGTTTTCTCACACAAACCGCTCGTTTCGTGTCTTAGGCCATCAATGTGTACATACATTTACGAGTCATTAAATCATGTTTAATTTGGACTTCTCTGTGCATGCTCTTTGAGGA